CCTGCCATGTGCATTTGACATTGTAAGGGACAAAATCAATTGACAATTCATACACACACACACACACACACACACACACACACACACACACACCTTTCATACAGGGTCTCTTGTAGCTCAGGCTGGTCTTGAACTTAGTATGTTTCTGAGAATGACCTTGAACTTGGGATTCTCCTGCCTCTACTTCCAAGGGCTAGATTTACAGGCATACTCCACCACATCAACTAATTTGATGCTGGGGATCAGACCACAGTGCCTCTTCTGAGTCTCTGATGAGCAACTGGGAGGGACACAGACAGCCATGACTTAGGCTTCAGGATTTGCTAGGACTAGAGCTGCATTGCTCTCAGGTGTGGCTGCTGGACCCAAACTGACTGAGAACCTGATGCATCAGTGCAGAGCTGCTTGCACATCCAAGCTGCAGGCATTCAATTGAGAGGGCCCTAGTCGCAACTGGAAGCTTGACCAGGGCCAGCAAGCAGCTTTGGGTAACAGTGAAGATAGAATGTCTAGGTCGGAGAACTGTAACAACCCACTGTGCCTTGCCGACATGTGGACTGATTGGAGCTTGTAGCTTAGTTCACCCTGTGAGACAGACCATAGCATTGGAGGTCCTCTGTGGCTGGGTGACTGGGAAAGACTGTACAGGCTGGGATGGAGGCACAGAAGGCATCACTACTGGGGTATGCTGGAGAAGCAGACCAGTACTGGTCGCACACCTGGAGGGACTTAGGGGCAGGCAGGGGCCTTCAGAAACTCAAAGGTACAGAAGATCTCAAAGGCACCAGGAAAGTCCCACTAGTGAAGAAGAGGTAGGAGGGCAGGAATGGCGTGGGGACACTTGAAATGGAAGAACAGGATGCTATGTTGACCAAGGAATAACTTTCTGGGGCGCTACCATGTACACTCGGTGGAAAAGAAGGCCGAGGGTCAGCAAGGTCAAGGAGTCACTCTTCAATTAAGCTGAGGCCCATGATGGCAGCCAGGCCTTGAGGATGCCAAGGTGACAAGCATAGGACAGACATCAAGCCACGGATGGAGCCAAGGGACCCTCAGATTCAGACACCTGAGCTTGACACTCAGGGCCTTCAGCCCTGGTGCCCTGGCTACCCTGAGTTCAGATCAGCCCACCCTGTCCATGGCCACGTGGCTGACGGGATTTCCGCCATGTTTGGGGTATGAATTGACAAGTACTCCATTGACGGGGCAGGGGAGGGGGTAGGCAGGGCACAAGACTCCCACTGTGTTGTGTCTCCACCCTCCCCACCCGCCAGGACAATGGCCTAGACTCAGCCAGCAGCCACAGCTGTGGGGGGGGGGGATGAGAAGGGGGACAGGGACGGGGAGGGGTCCATGGTGGAGGGACCACCTGGGTCACTGCCTGCTGCACCTGGCTTGGGTGTTCTGGTCCCCCTTGATGAGTGGTCTTAAAAGAAGGAAGAGAAAAGAGAAAACACAGTTTTCCCACAGCCTGGACACTGGCCTGGCTGAGAAGCAACAGCCTCTTCTGAGTCTGGCTCTTGTTTCAAGCAGGTAATAAAGGCGCTAGTTAGTGTGGTGCCCCTGGGGGTGCCTCTGCAGGAAAATGTGGGATCTGGAGAAGCCCTGTCTGACCTGGCTTGTAGGTCCTTCATGGCCTGCTCAAGGTCTCCAAGTCTGGCAAAGCCACCTCTGGTCCCTGGCTCATCATCTTGTTCATTCATTTATTCTGTGATTATTGATTATGACTACGGTATGGGTTTCTTAACATTGCAGAGAGCCATAGCCCAGTCCCTGCCCTGAAACTATAGGCAATATATCCACTCTCAGCTGCAGTCTCTTCATCTGTACAATAGAAGACATCTGCTTCATAGGAGAGATGCTCTTTAGGGTGTGGAAGTCAGACTGTGGGTACTCACTCAACCTTCCCTAGGGAGGTGTGAGCCAGCCAGCTGAGGAGGTAGACCACCTAACAGGAAAGGCAGTACAAGAGGACAAAGGAAGAGTCAAGAAGGTCACTTGGGTTGGGGTTGGGTTGGGATAATAGAAACTTGCTAAAGGATAGGAATTAGCTTTCTCTGGTAGAGGCAACAGCATATGCAAAGTCCCTGTGGGTGGCATGTTTGTCCCCTACCGGAAGGAAGCAGGAACTGGACTGAAGAGAGCCCTACAGGGGAGGAGGCTGGGGGGAAGCAGAAGGCAGATACTGTCAGGCTTTTCGAAGGAGATCTGGATTTATTATTTGCTGGGAGAATTTGTTGGAGGGTTTGGGGAGGAGGACAGATACTGATTGGTGACACTGGGGTACAACTCCCTGATCGGTGGCAGACCAGGGCTCACTCCAGGTGGTCTTGAGGATTAGAGAGGAGACTTCCGGCCTTCAGTCTACATCCTTGCAGGCACCCCGTTGGGTGCCTCAGTTCTTTAGGCAGTGAGGCAGCACTCCTATAGTTTACCTTGAGGATTGTGCCCTCTTCTGGGCCCCCGAGGGGCCCTGTTTCAGCCTCAAGATCTCCAGGCCCCTGCAAGCCTCCATAACACAGATCTCTATTGTAGGTCGGGACCCCCGCATGGAGCCTGGGCAGTGTGGGGAGAAGGAGGTGGGGGGTCCTGCATGCCTTAGGAAGCCTCAGCATCTCCCCCTCCAGAGCCTTAGACTCATCTCACTCTGCCATCAGCCTCCGTCCTCCCCCCTCCGTCCTCTCGGACCCTGGCACGAGAGGGTCCCTCCTCCCCTAGCCACATCTGGTTCTTGTTAGGGTCTCCCAGGATGCCTGGGCCTGAAGGCCCCATCCCCCGGGGGAGGTGGACAGCAGGATTAGGGGCGATTAGGAGTGCTCCTGGCCAGGGGAGGAGGAGCCCAAGAGGAGGGGCGAGGATGGTTATAAACAGCAGCCCATGACCGCATCAGCCCATCACTCACTCAAGGTGCCAAGTTCAGTCTCAAAAACCTGCAGCTTCAGCAGCTGGGGCAGTGTGGGGGTGGGGCTCTAGGCTCTCCTCCTTTCTTCCTCAGAAATCTTTAGCAATGCTGTGGGGCAGGGACCAGGCTGGGGGAAGACACAGACACAGCAACTACACCTTTCTCCCTGGGATCAGATTGGCTCGTTTTCCTGTGTGGCTTTGGAGTGAGGAGTGAAGTTTCTGAACAATAGAGACAGAAGCAGTAGCACCCAGTTCATGGGAATGGTCGAGCGGTAAAATGCAGTGTGTCAATACTTGAGCAGTACCTTACTTGAGCATGAGTCTCATCATTGTCACCAGCATAGTGTGAATTCAGAAGGACTGCTAGGCACTTCTTTATGACCTACCGTCACCAACAATGTCGTTTTCCTTGTATGATAGGTTGGTAGGATTTAGTGACACAATATGTGTGAAGTTGGCAGAATGCCTCATATATAGTAAACTGGGTGATGAGTGTGGCACACAGTAGGCCCTCAATTACTGAACTCTGTGACTACTAGAAACAGGTGAGGTGGGGTTGGAACTTGGGCAGACAGACTGACCATGTACGTGTGCTCTGACTACAGAGCATGGCCAGCAAAACCATTCATGGTGGGTGGGTGCCCTCTGTTCTCAGCTGGAGTGAGGGGGGCAGGGAGGGTCAGCAAGGGGCACAAGCAGCGTGTGACTCCTAGGAAGGCTTAGCCTCTCATGCTCATTAATTCATTAATCACCTAAGCTCAGCTTGGCATTCTTCAAATGCCAGACTGGGGCCAGGGAGGGGCCTGGGCTGGGGGCTCAGAGACCCCAGGGTGCTAGGGTTCTGGAGGTGAAAACAGCCCCTCCATTTGCAGGGCTCCCACTGTGTGCTGGGCACTTTATGATCTATATCTTTGCAGCCATCACAGCTGCACCATGATGCAGCTGTTCACCCCCACTTTCCTAAGAAGGATACTGAGGCCCAAGGAGGGGATGGCCTGCTTGAGGTCACACCGCAGGAATGGCTGAGTTGGGTGGCATTTGTCCCTCACCAGTCTGAGCCCTGTTCCCAAGACTCCCCAGAGGAAGGACTCAAGGTGGCAATCCAGGATTTGAGGCTCCAGTCTAGGGGGTCCTTCCTGCCTCAGTGGAGCTGGCCAGCCGGAATCTGCAGTGTGGGTGGGGTGTCCTCCATTATCGGGGTTGACGCATCTCTCGCGTCAGCCCCCTTATCACGTCTCGCTCTGGCTACCCCCTCCTTGCCCCACAAGGTGACCCTGGGAGAGGAACCGCCATCACCACCCTCCCCTTCTTCCTTGCCATGACCAGGAGCCCTGGACTGCCTTTCCTTTGTCCTTCCTCCTCAGGGGGCTGAGGCCCCAGGAAAGGGCCCTGGAGAGGCTATCAGGTAGCAGGTGGAGGGTGGAGGAACTGAGTTCTGGCCACTATTCCTTCCTGTATGAGGCAGGACACATTGTGCCTCCCTCATCCTCTGTCTCCTCTTGAGAGTTGGCGCTGAGCACCCTATCTCCATCACAGAGACAGCTGGCCTAGCCACCAGAGATGGGCCTTGCTGACGCTACTGATCTGGTCTCAGGCTCTCCCTGAAGCTGGTGCCTGGGGTTCAGTGATTCCTTGACTCCTGGGCCCCAGGATGTATGTTTTGTACAGCCAGGCCTCATGTTTCTATGTGCTCAAGGCTGGGTCTCCTGGGCAGGAAAGTCATTCTGGGTCCAAGTGGGTCCATACTGGGGTGGTGCCACCTTGCTCGCTTCTTGGAGCACTCTTTTAAGATAAAAGGACAGATGAGAGAGAGAAATGATCCTGTCATATAGCTAAAGAAAGGACAAGAGTGACTTCTCTTGTTCCCAAACCCATACACTGGGCTATTGACCGCCTGGCCTGGAAAACTGGGAATATCCTTGAGGTTTGTGGACAGGCGTTACCTTTGGAGGGGCATTAGGGGTGGACAGTGAAGGGCTGTGCACAGAGGGGAGCTGGGTCAAAAGTTTCAGAGAACTTAGCTTGAGGAAGGGTGCTAGCCCTAGGTCTGGGGTCTCCAGGGATCTGTTTCAAGCCCAACTGCCCCTGCTTTTCAGGCCATGACATCAGCGGTGCCCTGGAGCCCTCCAACATAGACACCAGCATCCTGGAGGAGTACATTGGCAAAGAGGATGCCTCTGATCTGTGAGTCACCTCATCTGAGACCTCTGGGCAGTTCCCTGAGGGAGGGACGGAACTTCCCCCTCAAGCCTGAGGACCTGGGGGCTGAGCTCCTCCATTCCCCACAGCTGCTTCCCTGAGATCTCTGCACCAGCCAGCACTGCCTCCTTCCCCCACGGGCCACCTGCCATTCCTGGCTCCAGTGGGCTCCACCATCTGAGCCCCCCTGGGACCGGACCATCCCCTGGGCGCCATGGCCCCCTCCCACCCCCGACCTACGGCACCCCACTCAACTGCAACAACAACAACGGCATGGGCACCGCCCCTAAGCCCTTCCTGGGGGGCTCTGGGCCTCCCATCAAGGCAGAGCCCAAGGCTCCCTATGCCCCAGGGTGAGTGGGGGCAGGGAGTGGGTGGGGACAGGATTTAGGGGCACATTGGACACTGTCCAGCAGATGTTGGCCTGTGGACTCCTGGGAAGGGCTTAAATGGCAGACTCCCTCATGGGTAGGTTCAGATAGGGGTGACACCAGGCTGATAAGAGATTTCCATGCTTTGTTGTAAGGCAGTGCCGATCAGGGTTCAGACAATGACTGTGATAGGGTAGTGCTAGAGAAGTCTCAAAGCAATATAGGGACAGAAGAGAGGCTTGGGACCCCAACTGCCACTCACAGGAACCCCACCCCACGTATGCTCACTCACGGGGCGTTAAGCACACTCCCATGTTCCATCTACCTATGGAACATTTAGCCGACAATTTCTGTATCCAGAGAGTTGACAGTACCTCAAGTATGCCCGTGCCTTGCAGAGCTAAGGTCAGTTACATCTTCAGGAGGCTTCTTCATGTCAGGCTCCCTCATCTCTCTGAGACCACGCTGATATCCTGACCCAGGGCTGAACCTGTGCCTGGCTTTGAGCACCTGCAGCCATAGCCCAGCCAGCCTCCAGACTCTGAGGTTCTCAGCCTTCCTAATGCTGTGACCCTTTAATACAGTTCTTCATGTTATGGTGACCTTCCCCTCCCCCCACTGTAATTATTTTTGCTGCTACTTCATAACAATAATCTTGCTACTGTTATTAATTTCAATGTAAATATATGATATGCAGGCTATCTGATATGTGACCCCTGTGGTCCATAAAGGGGTCGGGCCCCACAGGTTGTTCAAGGGGAAGTACCCAGAGCCAGGGTTCACCAGGCTCTCCACAGACCTCAGTGAAGCAAGGCAGAGGTCTTGTCTTTAGATACAATAAAGCTACAGGATGCATAGATGATGCAGTGTCCAGCAGTCTGGCATCAGTCTGGTTCTCCCATTTGTCAGTCTCTAGGCTTGGTGACACATGACCTCTGCCAGAGGCTGGGTTTCCTCACCTGTAGAATGAGCTTTACATTCATGGTGGACATTAAGTGGGAGAAAGCAGAGAGGAAGTTTTGGGTAGATGCTCAACATTGTGACCAGGGACTCCTAAGTACCTGGCTTACGGTGACCATACTGGAGGCCAGGCACACCGTGCCAGGGGCAAACCTTGGTTGCTTAAGGGTGTCTCTAAAAGTCAAGCTGCCTGATGGTGGAGGGGAAATAGCTTAGGTTTAGCAGGCACAAGTGAGCTCCTTGGCCTTCTCCTGAACCAGCTCCAGGTGGCTCTGGTAGGGCTTGTCTAGAGTCTAGGTGTCCTGGTCTAGGCTTTGTTCTAAGCAATCAACAAGACAGACATATGCCTGCCCCATCACGGGTGACAAGAGAGGTATAGACGCATCACAGGGCTGAGGGTGCTGCTCAGTGGTAAAGTACTTTCTAGAGAGTGCAAGGATCTAGATTCCCGCTCCAGCACCATACAAAGTATAATAATTCACTCCAAAGAGGAAATAACGAGTGAGAATATGAAAGAATGCAGGGTCATGTGGGCTGGGACATTTGATGGCAGGGACTAGAGGGTGTGAGAGACCTTGACCTATTGGAGGAGCCCAAGAACACTGTTAGGAAAGGAGTGCCTGGAGCAGGTGGGGGATGGACAGAGCCAGGTCAGCCCAGGGACTGAGGCCGTAGCCATGGGTAAGAGGCCCTGTCCTGCCTAGTTTTCCGTGTTATTCTTAGTAAACCTTGTTCTAGGGGCCACTTTTTTTTTGTTTGTTTGTTTTGAGACAGGGTTTCTCTGTGTAGCCCTGGCTGTCCTGGAACTCAGTCTGTAGACCAGGCTGGCCTCAAACTTAGAGATCTGCCTCTGCACCCCAAGTGCTGGGGATTAACGGTGGCTTAGGTTGAGACTTAGGCTTAGGGTCTACGTTTTCTGTTTGTGGTTCTAAGGCTTGAACCCAAGAGCTCTTCATGTATGCTAGGCAGGTGCTCAACTGCCAAACTACATTGTGTGTATGTGTGTGTGTGTGTGTGTGTGTGTGTGTGTGTGTGTTTATATTTTCATTTATTAATTTATTTTTATTTTATGTGCACTGGTGTTTTGCCTGCATGTGTGCTTGTGTGAAGGTGTCAGATCTTAGAGTCACAGACAGTTGTGAGCTGCCATGTGCATGCTGGGAATTGAACTCAGGTCCTCTGCAAGAGTGTTTAGTGCTCTTGACTGCTGAGCCATCTCTCTAGCCTCCCTTCTTTTCACTTTTTGAGACCATGTTTTACTAGCCCAGGCAGGCCTTGAACTTGTGGTCCTCAGTCTTGAGTCTTCTGAGTAGCTTGGGGTACATGTCTGCACCAGATTCAGTGTCCTTATTCTTGAACCAATGTCAGAGATGTAGTGAGGCCTCCACAAGTAGGGGAGGAGGTGGGAAGAAGTGGCCATGGCTTGTCCAGGGATGCAGTATAATTCTGCAGTCAGAGATGGAATGTGTCCATGGTGACCCTGGAGCCTTTCTGGTGGTCCCTGGGCACAGTGGAGGGGAGCCTCTCCAGATGTAGAGATGAAAGATGACCAAAAGTTGGGTTTCTGGGCAGCCAGAGTCTCTCTCTGGGCAAGTACATGTTTTGTACAGGACGTGTTGACCTCTGGGCTTGAGTTTGTTCTTTTGCTTGAACCACTGATAAAATAAAACTTGCAAGAAAAAAAAAGAGCCCAGGCCCAGAAATACTGGCTCCCTGCCCAGTCCACACCTGCCTCTGGCAAGGCAGCTCCTGGTGACCCACTGAACCTCCTCAGACCCAGCCCCAGGTCCTAGGATTTCCAGGAAGCTGGAAGTTTCAGTGGAGTTCCAAGAGAGGCAGATGCCTAGCTCCTAGTTCCAGGGGAAAGGGGGTCTTCCTATCCCAGGGCTACCATCAGAGGCCTGGCCACTGGCCCACAAATAACCACTATTAGGTCTGGAGATCCAGGGCAGGATCTTGAAGTCCTTCACCCACAATTAAACCCTGGATCCTGCCAGGGTTCTAGGATAAGTGGGCAGAGATACCCTGGGGTAGATGTGAGGAGATCTCAGTGGCCTCAGTTCTGGCATGGGATGGGGGTGGTGGGGTCTTTGCAACCTTGCCCATCAGAGAAGCTGCCTGGCCGAAGGTTGGGTCTGGGGGCTCAGCTGCTGGCCCAACCTTTTCCCTCCTCCGGCCCCCTGCAGCACACTGCCAGACTCGCCCCCAGACTCAGGCTCTGAAGCCTACTCCCCTCAGCAGGTGAATGGTGAGTCCAGCGGGCAGCGCCACCCTCCCCCTCTGGGTTTGGGCAAGTGGTTGGTGCAGCCTTATCAGGGAGAGAGGGAGGAGGGAGGGAGGGGGCCAGCGGCTGCCCAACGGATCAGATTATCGCTGGTCAAATATTCCTCGGCGCTGGCTATTGTTCCCCAATGGGCGGGTGGGGAGCCCGGTCCTGCCTCAGAGTAAGTGTCCCTGCTGGTGATGCCACCGTCTGGCCCCCCTACGCCATCATGGACGCGCCCTTTGGCGGTAAGTGGACAGCTGAGGAAGGCTGCTGCTGGGCCCACCTTTACAGGGTGCCGAGGGGCCCAGTGGCCCCCATGTGGCCAAGAGTAGAATAATCGTGGGCACACTGAAGAGGGGTCAAGAGTTCTGTTTATCCTACCAAAACATCCCTGGAATGCTTCCTGAGGAACAAAGAGAGAGCTGCAGCCCCCTCAGGCTGGGGGACTGGCCCCTGGAACTGGTAGTGGAGCTGCTGGAGGGAGGAGGCTGGGTGGGGGATTGGGCTGGGGTCTCTCGGAGACTCTTCAGGCTTCAAAGTAGTTAGAGACTGGGGAATCTTCTGAGGGGCTTTGCCCAAACAGCCTAGGGGAGAGCTGGCTAGAATGAGTAGCCGCCTCTCTCACAGAGTCTTGCTTCCCTGCTCAGGTTCTAGCTGGCTGCCCCGTCTCTCTACCCAGCCTCTGGCATGTCTCAGGAGGGCATAAAAGCAGGAGACTGTGCCTAGGGAGATTGGGTGAGGCATGTCTCTGACTCCTGTCCCCCGTCTCTTTCTCAGACCCCCATCTTCTGCGCACCATAACTCCGGAGACTCTGTGCCACGTGGGAGTTCCTTCCCGCCTGGAACACCCGCCCCCACCTCCAGCCCACTTGCCAGGCCCACCACCACCCCCGCCTCCCCCACCTCACTACCCAGTCCTGCAACGGGACCTCTACATGAAGGCTGAGCCCCCTGTACCCCCTTATGCTGCCATGGGGCCGGGTCTGGTGCCCCCGGAGCTCCACCACACCCAGCAGACGCAGGTGCTACACCAGCTGCTGCAACAGCATGGAGCTGAGTAAGGCTTGGGTAGAGCCTCCTTGATAGGAAGGTGGGGTGGAAGTCAGGGCATCAAGAGTCGGGGGTGGGGGTGGGGGTAGGGGTGGTGGCAGAGTGACCCGAGAGAAAAACAGGCCCTACAGGAACGATGCTTTGAGGGCCTATAGCCATAGCTGATTGGTGACAGCTACCTCATTCATAGATACGTAAACGGAAGTTCTAAGAAAGGAAAATAGTTTTCTCAGGTAATGGATTAGGAAAAGGCAGAGCCAAGACTTCAAACCTGGAACTGCATTCTTAACACAGACTACAATGCTTTCTGCCCACTTGTTGAAATCCTTAGGGTTTTTTGTTTGTTTGTTTGTTTTGTTGTTTTTTAAAAGATGTTATTTATTTTATGTATGAGTGCACTGTAGCTGTCTTTAGACACACCAGAAGAGGACATCAGATCCCATTACAGATGGTTGTGAGCCACCATGTGGTTGCTGGGAATTGAACTCAGGTCCTCTGGAAGAGCAGTTAGTGCTCTTAACCACAGAGCCATCTTGTCGGCCCGGTGAAATCCATAGGTTTCTAAGAATGACAATTTCAGGATGCTCTGTGTAACACAATGCTCTGTAGAGGCACATACTAATCAAGTGTGACCCCTCCACAGGGTTAAGACTGTGGCAAAGACAAAGAACGGAACGCTGAGTGACAGGCTAGAGTATAGGGGAATACCTGAGGGCTTCCTGTAGGAAGTATCTTCCTGGCTGGGCATTGCCTTCTAAAATGGTGCTGAGGGGAAAGGGATGGGCACTGCATAGGAGAAGAGGGCTCAGGGAGAGAGAACCAGCCCCCATGCCACTCACCTCTGCCCCCCCCAGGCTCCCTCCACACCCCTCTAAGAAGAGGAAGCACTCTGAATCACCCCCCAACACCCTCAATGCCCAAATGCTGAATGGAATGATCAAGCAGGAACCTGGGACTGTCACAGCCTTGCCCCCACACCCTGCCAGAGCCCCATCCCCTCCATGGCCTCCTCAGGGCCCACTCTCACCTGGCACTGGCTCCTTGCCCCTCAGCATTGCCCGAGCCCAGACTCCACCTTGGCACCCACCAGGTGCACCCTCCCCAGGTAGGTGACTGACTGACCATTGATGCTGGGGACTGGAGCCCTCGGCCTAGATCTCACCAGTGTTCCTTCCCTCCAGGCCTCCTGCAGGACAGTGATAGCCTCAGTGGCTCCTATTTGGACCCCAACTACCAATCCATCAAATGGCAGCCACATCAGCAGAACAAGTGGGCGACCCTGTATGATGCTAACTACAAGGAGCTGTGAGTGAGCCATGCCACCTAGCCACCTCATCTTGGGACAGCTCAGGACCCTATTGAGCTCCTGGGTCAGGGCATGGAAGGAGTCTGGGTATAAAAGAATCACGTTTGACAGAAGAGTCAGCAAACTCAGGGAAGAATCAAGCCCAGGGTTCAGGCTTCAGGGCCTCTGGTCAGCCTAAGTCTCTCTTAAAGCAGTGGTATCTTCTGGGAGGGGTGTGGGAGCCAAGACAGGAAGAAGTGGGCGGATGCATGTTTTCTGGCCCCTCCTTAATGTTCTCCTACATTCCAAGAAGGTAGCCTGAAGTTTATAGCAAAAGCTGGACCCTTATAATAGCCCCCTCCCTATGGAGGGAGGAGGGGCAGGGAGAGCTGGGGGTGTGGCTGCCCAGGCTGTTCTTTCTCCTTCCTCAACACCACATGGATCTAGCTTCCCAGGCCCCAAAAGCACAGTGGGGACCACTCTCCTTTCTCCCCTAGAAGGCCACTGGGTGTCTCAGGGTGACTTCTCCAAGTGTACTTTGGACTTAGCCAAGAATGAACTAAGTGACTGGGCCTGGGGCGAAGACAGGCGACTTGAAGTGGGCGCCCTGAGCCGTGGAACGCCTATCCAGTGGCTCCCAGGGTGGGATACCCAGTTGTGGTGGCAGTTAAAGTGATGAAGAGGGCATTTATGGGATCCAGTCCCTCTGGTCTGGAGAGAGATACCTCTATTCACACCTCCATAATTCTTGGACACCTTGCTATCTCCCTGCTTAGGCCCCAAAGCCAGAGAGCTAGCAGCAGAGGTCTGCAGTGTGACCCAGGAATTTTCTGCTACTTTCTTAGGTCAGACAGATGGATGGGCCCTGTAAGGGAAGAATGAATGAGACCAAACCTTCCCTTGGAACTTGCTCTTGAGTAGGGAAGCTTCTCCCTGTCCAGCTTTCTGTGGGTGGACACTAGTACTTGTGTGCCCAGTTGGGTACCTCTAATGCATGGTGACCCAGGGGAGAATGAGACAGGTCGTAAGTTAACAAGTGCTTTCTTTATTGCCCTGGAGGTGCCCTAAAGGCTCCAGACACTATCTCAGTGACAGATGGCAAGCTTCAGCTGTTCCTGAGGGGGAGGTCAGAAACCAGAAGTACTCCCCTGTCTCTGGGGCAGTTGGGGGAGTCAGAATGAGAGCACTGGGTGGGGGGGCTTGAGCAAGGAGGTGGGCCAGGTTGGGTCAGGGTGGGCCCAAGGCAGAGCTGGCTCCTGGTTCCACCGTTTCCATGGTAACCAGCTGTCAGGCACAGTGAGACTATACAGATGCAGATCCTCTTATCCCATCTCCCACAAGGGAGGGGGCTTCAAGGAGTGTGTGGGAAGTGGTTAAGGGTACTGAAGAATGGCAAAGGCTCTCCTCTGGAGTCCCCTCAGTTCTGGTGGGCCTTCGGAGTCTTATCTTGCGTCCTTCCTCCCAGCACAGAACAATAGGCCCCAGGCGCATAATGAAAAACCTGTGCAGCTCCTCTTCTAGGCTTAGTTTCCATGCTTGGAATAGAGATTGACCCCTTGAGGTTTGGGGATCTTGGGGGATACAGCATAAGTAATGGGACTGGAGTGTGAGCCTGTGGAAGGAAGCAATATTCCATCTTCAGCCTGGGGGACTCTGGTGAGTCTCCCTCCCTTTTCCCTTCCCTCCTTCAGACCTATGCTCACCTATCGTGTGGACGCTGACAAGGGCTTCAACTTTTCCGTGGGTGACGATGCTTTTGTGTGCCAGAAGAAGAACCACTTCCAGGTGACCGTGTACATCGGCATGCTGGGTGAGCCCAAGTACGTCAAGACGCCGGAAGGCCTCAAGCCCCTGGACTGCTTCTATCTGAAGCTGCATGGAGTGAAGGCAGGTTTGGGGTCAGGCTTGGAAGGGAGAGCAGGAGGGCCAGGAAACTCCAAGATGCGAGTGATGAGGGAATACCCCACAGCTGTAGTCCACCGCTGGCCCACCCCTCTTCCTCTTCTAGCGCCTGCCGCCTAGCTGTAGGGTTGCTTGGACCTCAGCATCTTCCTTATATGCTGCTTCTCTCTCCACCCCATGCCCCAAGTCTCCATCTCCAATCCAAGAGCCATTTCCTGGCCCTCTCACTGATGCCTCAGCTCTCAGACCCAAGGAAACTCCCTGCCACTTGTTCCTGTCCCTTGCCCCACCTCAGGATCCTGGCTACTCAAGCCGTATATCTAAAGGCCCTCCTACCCTCAGCTTGTCATACACTTGGCTCTGTTTGGAGGCTCCGGAGTAGCCCTTGTCTCCTCCCCTTGCCTCCTCCCCTTGGCCCGAGTCACCCCCATCCCATGTCTGAATGTCCAATAAGCTTCTATTCTGCCCCCAGTTCCCATAACACATGAGGTTGCAATATACCCCTTCCTCCCGAGACTCCAGTGTCTTCCCAGCAAAGCCACCATATCCTTTAAGTTGTACCCACAGGGGTCTTAGAAATCACCAGCCGATCACTCCAATCCTATGCATGCTATGTCCCATACTTGCAATCCTTGAATGCCCTCCTAGGGTCCCATCCCAGCACCCTATCCCATTTATCTTGTCTGGTTCATTCTGATGCCCCTCTGGGAAACCTGCCCTGAGGTCCTTTGTGACTAAGGGATTCCATAGCACAGCCACTGGAGCTCAGGAGCTCCCTGGGGATGAGACCAGGTCTGTCTGATTTCTTCACAGGCTGGGCCTGGCATGGCTCAGCCAGTGTTTCTGGAGAGATGAGAGGCTGTGGGTATGTGAGAGTGTCTGGGATGCTGTGTGTCTGTGTGTGTCTGTGTGTGAACGTGTGTGCATGTGTGTGTGAGCCTGTATAAGTGTGTGTGCGTGTGTGTAGTCTGGCTGTAAGTGAGAAGAGAGTACAGGTATGGGTATGGTTATAGGCTAACTGGAAAACCTGGGCATGCCTGGAGAAATTAGGGAGTCAGATGATACTGTGATGTGAGGCCGTCATGGAAGTGCCGGAAATCACCATGCAGAAGTAGGGGAAGCAATGAACTGTGAGCTTTCCAAAGGCTATGTGTGTGCCCTTGAAATGGGTTGGGAATGTGGGGTGTGGATATGGAGGCCCCTGAGTTTGTGAGGAAGTGAGGTGGAATTATGCTGTGGACCAGGGTGAAGGGGATGAAAGAGGAAGACCAGGTAGGGAATCTTGTCCTGAGGTGCCCTCGGCCCATTCCTCTTTAGCTAGAGGCCCTGAACCAGTCTATCAACATTGAGCAGTCACAGTCAGATAGAAGCAAGAGGCCCTTCAACCCTGTCACGTAAGTATCCAGCCCTGTGGGGTGGTGCTTGGAAGGGCCCATGTTAGAACGGGCCCAGAGGCTGGGGAGACAGGCAGGTACCCACAGTGCCCTTGGCCTGTGTTGCTCTGCAGCATGGCTCCTGGCAGCCTTCTTTTCTACTCCTGAGCACTCTACCCATTCTCTGTAGGGTCAATCTTCCCCCTGAGCAGGTCACAAAGGTGACTGTGGGGCGGCTCCATTTCAGTGAGACCACTGCCAACAACATGCGCAAGAAGGGCAAGCCCAACCCTGACCAGAGGTGAGCAGGCCAACCTGGACACAGAAGTTCCTCCTTTCTGAGGAGCAGGGTCAAAAAAGGGCCTCCATGGAGCATGCCAGTCCCAAGTCCACAGATGGCCTGTTTCCCAGAGAAAGAACCTGTGGTTCAAAATATTTGGCAGATTTAGGGACTCAGGCACAGAAGACTGGCTTTTGAGCTCTAAAACAGTTCTGGGGCTCCTAGTGGTGGACCCAGGGAGGGATTCTGCCCCCTAGTGGAGGCTCATGTTTCTCCTCTGTGGGATACTGTGATAACTCCACATCCCAGAGGTGCAATGACAGAGTGGGGCTTCATACCCTGATATCTGGGCCAGGGAGGGTGGCTAGGGGCACCCCTGAGTGTTACTGAGTCCCCGGTGTATCCCAGGTATTTCATGCTGGTGGTGGCCCTCCAGGCACATGCACAGAACCAGAACTACACACTGGCAGCCCAGATCTCGGAGCGTATCATTGTGCGGGTAAGAGTCATCTCTCCACAGGGGCAGTGTCCTCCCCTTCCCTACCAAGCTGGAAGAAATAGCTTCAGGAAAAATACTATGGAGTGGGGTTGGGTTGCAGCTCTTGCTGGACAGTGGCTGTGTGGCCTTGGGCTTTGTCATCCTGTCTAGGCCTTAGGGCCTTCTTCACTGTAAAGCATGAAGGTGGATCACACCTAGTAGCCTCCTGAGCCCCACAGATGACTCAGTTTTATCACAATGGACAGTTTATTGGACATGGTGGGGTAAGGAGACTTGACTGGCCTAGGTGTTCCAGGGGTTTCCCCTTTGCTCAGGGCCCTAAAGTTTCCCCTAACCCCCAAGACTGATCCAGACCCAACTTGCCGTAGGCCTCTAACCCAGGCCAGTTTGAAAGTGACAGTGACGTGCTATGGCAACGGGCACAGCTGCCAGATACCGTCTTCCACCATGGCCGTGTGGGCATCAACACTGACCGGCCAGATGAAGCACTGGTTGTCCATGGCAACGTCAAGGTCATGGGATCTCTCATGCACCCTTCAGATTTGCGGGCCAAGGAGCACGTGCAGGAGGTAGGGACAAGGTCCTGACTGAGGGGCAGTGCTGTGAGTGATGAGTAGGACCATTGGGAAGGACCAGGATGCCAGGGTAGGGGTAGGGAGGCTGGCTTTGTACTTCAGGATCAGTCTCCCTTCTGCACTGAAGCCCTTGAGGCCTGCCCTGCAAGACTGCAGGAGGTGAGGAGGGTTCAGTCTTGGGCCTGTCCCCTGGTAGGTGGACACCACCGAGCAGCTGAAGAGGATCTCTCAGATGCGGCTGGTGCACTACAGATACAAGCCTGAATTTGCTGCTAGCGCGGGCATTGAAGCCACCACACCGGAAACAGGTAGAAATGTACCTGTGTCCCTAAGCTTTGGCCAGTCTGTCCTGTCTCCTGGAACCTGTTCCTAGAAACCCCAGCAGTGATCTTTGGAGCTCCACCCTCTGAAATACTGACCCCTTGGGGTCCTGTACCTCCGCTCTTGGAATATCATGCTTCCCAGGTCCTTGGAACCCTATCCCTGGACTCAGCATCCTAAGTGTCACGTGGCCTGAAGTCTTTATCACACAGCATTCAGAGATTCTGCATCCTCTTGGAACCCTGTCTCCCACCCTCGAGGTTCCCCTAGGATCCTACCCACCCAACGAATCCCACATCTCGAGCCTGGGGACTTCAAAGCTATGAACAGTTATCTGAGAAAGTTCCTACTCCAGGGCTCCTTAAAACTCAATGCTCAGGTAGTTCTCCAGAAAGCCATGAGCAGGACCACACACCCTTGGCTTGTCCCTCCCCAGGTGTCATCGCCCAGGAAGTGAAGGAGATCCTACCTGAAGCTGTGAAGGACACAGGGGATGTAGTCTTTGCCAATGGAAAAACTATAGAGAACTTCCTTGTAGTGAACAAGGTCAGTTATGGGGAACTGAATGGGGCTCTGAGTCAGAGGGCCTGGCCAGCTGGTGGCCCTGGCTGGTAGAGGGAAGAAGGGACAGCTTTGCTCCTAGTACCTCCAAGAAGCCCTCCCCACCATACAGGAAGGGGGCCATTCGTTCAAGATGGAGAGGCAAGTTAACCACTAGAGGCTGTGTGGTAAAGGGCAAGGTGGATCCCACTGGGGTTGCACTCCCTCCACCTCCATCAGTTAGAAGAGGGTAACAAGATGTGTCACCTTTTTGTGGCTCAAAGATGTGGCTTATTATGAAGGTGACATTTGTACTCAGTGACCTGAACCTTGTATACGTGTACTTAGAAACAGACACATGACATATTTTTACCTACCTGAGAGAGTAGGTCCAAGGGATGGAGCTCTGACTTGAGGGAGGAGGCAAGGCTGGGTAGGTAGACACTTAGCCTAGGCTAGGGGCAGCAGACATGCTGTGTGAACCAGAATTTGGCTAGAGCAGAGGGCGCCGTCAGGCAAGAATATTTCTAGGGCCTCTGTTGGCTGTGGAGAATGGGGATTCTGCTCCTGCCTGGATTCAGACTGCAGCTTGGAAGCTTCTTGGGCTGATGGCGCCCTCAAGGCTGTTGTTGCCCCGGGGCAGGAGCGGATCTTCATGGAGAATGTGGGGGCTGTGAAGGAGTTATGCAAGCTGACGGACAACCTGGAGACCCGGATTGATGAGCTGGAGCGCTGGAGCCACAAGCTAGCCAAGCTGCGGCGCCTGGACAGCCTCAAGTCAACTGGCAGCTCGGGTGCCTTCAGGTGCGAGCACCGCCTGGGACTGTGGGGCAGGAGAGACCTCCTTCTGGAAAGCATCCTGATCCTTGTCCTCTTACTGCAGCCATGCAGGAAGCCAGTTTAGCCGGGCAGGCAGTGTCCCCCACAAAAAGAGGCCCCCTAAACTGGCCAATAAGGTGAGACTGTGCAGGGTTGGGAGGTTCCTTGTCTCTCATGGCCTTCCCTTCCCAGCTTGCACCACTCCAACCTAACCCACTCCAGCTCTAACCCCTCCCTTCTCCCCTCTTGACCTTGTAGCTCTTCCAGCCCTCTTCTGCTTCCTCTTCCTCAGACCATGAAGAATGGGGATGGGGTGGGGGTGGGGGCTGAGCAAGGAAGTAGGCATCCTAAGTCTACCATCTTCTGGTGTGTTCTTTCCTCTTGGTCCTCAGTCATCACCAGTGGTCCCAGACCAGGCCTGCATCAGTCAGCGCTTTCTGCAGGGAACTATCATTGCTCTGGTGGTGGTCATGGCCTTCAGGTGACTTGTCTCCTAGGTTCTGGGGAGGCTGGTTTAGAGAATAGAGCTACCCAGTGAGTTAGATGAGTCTGGGGTCCAAGCTCTGGAGTTGGGGGAGGAAAATGGACTGGGGATCAAGCAGCTGAGGTTAGGGAAAGTGGGCTCCCCCTCCAGGGTCTGGGGAAGCCTGTTTGCAGACATCACCTGGGAAGACCACAGAGTCTGTCATAGAGAAACGGTGTTGGGTGGTGGCTTGCATTCAGACAGTGACCCTTTTCTGTGGCTCCCAGCGTGGTGTCCATGTCCACACTGTATGTGCTAAGCCTGCGCTCCGAAGAGGACCTGGTGGATGCTGATGGGTATGTCCCTGGAGGTCTGCTACTGCTAAGCCCTCAGGCCAGGGGGGACTGATGAACGGTGGCTTGAGTCAGAGGGTCCAGGGAAGCTCTCGCTAACGGGGTTCAGTCTTAGGCTTATGGCCTACTACAGACTGTTGGGGTGGTGGTGGTGGGTCTCCTGGTTAGTGGGTACTTTCTACAGGGCCCCTCTGGCCTGCTCAGTAGTCCTTCAGTAGCTGTCTGGAGGACACTTGTAGGAAGGGGGATGGGGTGCAGGGAAGGAGGGCCAGAGCAGGACCTTTAGCTCTGTCTGTCACTGTCCAACCCCAGCTCCTGAGGTCACCTCTGACTGTGTCTTTTTCTCTCTCCTCCCCTATGTCTGTTTCCCTCCTGGTCTCTCTGTTGCCTCCTAGCTCTCTTGCCGTGTCTACTTCCTGTCTTCTGGCCCTGCTCCGGCCCCAGCACCCTGGGGGGAGTGAGGCCATGTGCCCATGGTATGTCTGACCAAGCATCCCTCCCTGCCTCCTGCTGTACCCTTCTTCCTGCCTTTGCTCCGCATTCCTCCTCTCCACCAGCTCTTGCTCACCCCTGCTTCTCTGGGACTCCCAGCCCCAGCTCCAAGGCTCCCCCAGTGCCTCTGAGCTCAGCCTACCCTTTCTTAGCAGGTCTAGCCAGAGCTTTGGGACCACACAGCTCCGACAGTCCTCTATGACCACTGGACTACCAGGCACACAGCCCTCTCTACTGCTGGGTGTGTGTCTGGAGGGATGAGGTGGGGCGGGTGGCTGGGGGCGGGGCTCCAGTGTCCTCCCCTCCAGCTCATATGGCTTCTGGCTTCCTCAGTGACCAATTCAGCCTCAGGTCCAGCTCTCCGTGCCTTGGACCTGTGTTCCAGCCAGCCCTGCCCCATTGTCTGCTGCTCTACTCCTCCCATCTCCAGTCCTGCTACAGATCCCAGCCTTGGCCCCACTCTCACTCCTACCCCAAGCCCCAGCCCTAGCCCCCACCCTAACCCCAAGCACTCAGGTATGGATGTTTTGGGGGTGGGGCCAGGGTTGGCAGGGGTGTTAGGTATTGTTTGTATCCAGAGAAAGGCCCTAGAGAGAAGGCAGGAGGGACTCTTAGTTTGGAAGTTTGGGGAGTCACCCCCATGGGAACCAGAAAACTCATGAAGGCTCACAGAAGCCAGGGACAGGAAGCGGCTGGCTTCCCTTTTCTCAGCTTAGCCTTGCTTCTGTCCATAGGCCCCGGCCAAATGGCCCCACTGCCAGTCACCAACATCAGAGCCAAATCCTGGGGCATTTCGGCTAATGGCATCGGCTATTCCAAGCATCCCAAGAGTCTGGAACCTCTAGCCAGTCCTGTCGTCCCCTTTCCTGGAGGGCAGAGCAAGACCAAGAACAGCCCCAGCTTCAATCTCCAAAGTCGTGCCCGCAGAGGAGCTCTGCAACCCAGCCCAAGCTCTGCCCAAATCACTCAGACCCAGGGCCAGCTAGGTACTTGACTCTCAACACTTCACAGCCTAGCCTATCTAGGCCCATTGTCTAGGGCCCATTCCAGCCCAGTCACATGGCTTCCTGGGCACAGAACTGTTAGTTAGCAGACATTAGGAATCAGACCTCATGTAGATAATGTCATTTAATCCTCACATCTTGGCTAAGGAGATAAATCAGAAGGTAAGGCACTTGCTTTGAAAGCATGAAGGCCAAAATGGTACATTCCCAGAACGTACCAGGCATGGTGGCCCACACTTGGAGTTCCAGTGACAGCAAAATGGAGATGGAGACAGGCAGATTCCTCATGCTCCATGGACAGCTAGCCTAGCCTGCTTGATCAAGTTCCAGCTTATGAGAGATCTTGTCTCAGACTAAAGGAGGAAAGCTCTGTTGCCATGGTTCAGAAGAGGAACTGGAGACTTAGGAGAAGGGTCATATAGCCAGCCCATCAGCAGTCCTGCTAAGATTCTGTCTCTAGTTGTCAAATTACAGATGATACTTCCTCTCTCGGCCAGGGTGGGGAAGTTATATGCTAAGACCTCAACCTCAAATCTTTGGTTTTTACCAAAATAGAACTCTTTTTAGTGTAGATGTGGTTTTCTCCAGGCTGACTTGTGTTCTCTGGCCTCCTGGTAGCCGTAACCAGTGTTTCTGTGCTGAGACGTGGGCTTCCTCACCTTGACTCTGTGGCTTAGCAAACAGAAACCTAGAAGGTGTGGTTTGTGAGACAGATATTCAAAGTAGTGGGGCAACTCCAAGGGTTGGAAGCTTGCCTCGAGATATGCATGGCTCTGAGTGTGCACAGGTGAAGACACCTCAGAGTGACGGGTCCCCAGGAATAGGGGAGGAACTTAGTCTAGGAGGACCAAGGAAGGAGACAACCAGGGAAGGCTTCCCAGAAGAGGTGCTATTGAGCCATCTTTGAAAGGTGGCTAAGATGAAAGTTTACCTAAGAAGAAAGCCATCTTGTCTGTATCAGGTAGCTTCACAGGGTGTTCTGGGTGCTGCTGCAGACCTTGAGTTTGTATCTTAAAGAGCTGAAAATGTATCAGGTCAAGCAAATGTTGAGAGGCTGGTGACCATAGCTTCCCACTTCTGGGGTGAAGGACTAGGCAGCAGCAGACCTGAGATAGTGAGATGAACATGTAACCTCATCTCCCAACCCCCTGTTACACCTCAGCACCTCAGCTGGCTCAATGACACCCACATGCTGGGGGCAGCCCCAGCTGTGTGTTCTTCTAGCCTTCCATGTTTCTGGCTGCCACAGTGACAACTGCTGAGCCCAGGGCTGGGAAAGAAATGTGTGTGGTCAGGAGCAGAGGCCCGAGAAGGACCTCTACTTGCTTTTGAGTGTCTTAGTTTTGTGAAAGAGGCAGCTCTCAGGCTCGTGAGAACTACCTGGTTCTAGAGATGCTGGGAAAGGGGTGTGGTGGGATACATCATGAGGGTCTGGAAAGGGGTGTGATGTGATACTGTGGTGAGGGTCTGGAAAGAAGGATTCTTGTTTGCACTGAGGTGTGAAAGCCCAAGTGTGATGTCATTGGGATTCTACCTTACCCTTCCTCAACGCCACAACAGCATTCTCTTCTTCCAGACCCAGTGCCATCCCTGACCTCCATCCAGCTACTGGAGAATTCCATGCCCATCACTTCTCAGTATTGTGTGCCAGAGGATGCCTGCAGGTACAGTGGGCTCCCTCTTGTCACTACAATGAGGGTCCCTCAGGTGCCAGAAGCCCAAGCAGTTTAGATGCTCAGATCTTGGCCCTTTGGGGAAGAACTTTCCCCTTAAGTTTGGGCAGCCCCTTTCCCAGTTTCCGAGGGCTTCAGTATAGAATGAGTCTGAAGAGGAGAGAGGGAGCCTAGCAAAGTGGCCTTGCTTAGGTACCATCTTTGCCCCTTTAGGCTTGGAAACTTCACCTACCACATCCCTGTCAGCAGCAGCACACCACTGCACCTCAGCCTGACCCTGCAGATGAAGTGAGTGCTGGTGTGGGGGAGGGAGGGAGCCATGTGGAACCCCCAGAGCCTCAGAAAACTCAAAGCTAAGTGATTACTAAGTTTCTTACATGGAGGGTCCAGGCTGCCTGGGGAAGGGCTGGAGAGGGACCACTGTTTGGGGTTCAGTGGCTATAAGACCCTGCCTCATGGGGACTGAATGGGATGGTGGGAGAGTTTTCCTCCATCTCAAACCCTGGACCATTCTGTGTGGTTCTCAGGCTGTGAAGATACAGCTCAGGCTGTCTCGGGTCGGGAAGGGCTGGATGGGACAAGGAGATGGGGGAGCTGCAGCTATTCAAATGGAAACCCACCTATTCCCTAGTTCCTCCACCCCTGTGTCCGTGGTACTGTGCAGTCTGACATCGAAGGAGCAGCCCTGTGAGGAGGGAGGCTTTTTGCAGAGGCTCCACCCCCATCAGGACACCCAGGTAGGGGGCAGGTGGGAAGCTGTGGGCTGGCCAGGTCTCAGACCTTCCTCTTCTCTGGATAGTGATCACCAAATGAAGGGAAGCAGAGTGCAAATATGTCTGCTGGGACACATACAGCTGGGATCCTGTGTCTGGGGGCAGGGGACATGCATGTCAGTCTTCATTCATCCGTTCTCAGATAGGTATCTGCATCCCCCATGACAGTGCCCAGGGGAGTTTATAAGGGCTGATCTGGGATGAGCACAGTGCCCACCGCAGGCAGAGCTGAGCTTCCCACCCCACTCCCCAGGAGGCAAGTGTCCACAGCCCTCATACTCAGGGCAGGGCAGTGATTAACAGATGGAATTAGAAGAGCCCCAGGCTCCGGGTGGAAGCCCAGCTTGGAGTTCTGTTGCTCATGGTGATTTCTGCTCACTTGTTTGTTCGAGTATTTGATGAGGCCTCTTTTCTCCTTCTCCTTCCCTGTGCTTCCAAGACCCTGTTCTCCAGGGAGGGAGAGAAGACAGGCATAAAATACCATGAGCAGCCAGGGCTACACAGAGAAACCCTGTCTCGAAAAACCAAAAAAAAAAAAAAAATACCATGAGCAGAGGAAGGAGGAGTTGAGGGTCATAAGGGAGGAGACCCATGGCCTTACAGGGAGGGATACTTATGAACAGAGGGACAGCCAAGCTAGTGGGTCACTTTTAGCTGTGGTGCTCCAGCCTAAATCCACACAACAGAGGCCAAGTCAAAGCTTCAGGTAAGGCAGGTAAGCTGTTTGTGGCTGCCTACCCCCACACTCTGCCACCACACTGTGATGGATAGCCGTAAAGACCTGCATTTGAACCCAGCTCTGCCATATATGCGTTTTGAAGGAGGCAAGCAACTGCAGATGGTAGCAGCACCTCTGCTTGCATCGCACTTCAGTCGTAGGCACAGTTAATGAGACACTTGTACAGCCTAGAGCATAAGGAGCTACAAGACAAAGGGAGGCCTCAGCTAGGGAAGGTGGTCTGCAGAGGGTGGCTACCTCTGCTTTCAAAGTGCAGTGTGCTCACCCCTGGGCTGCCACGGCAACGCTGAGAGGAATGCTGGCTAGGACAAGGCTGCCCTGACCTCTCACTCTTCCTTCTCTCTCTAGGGTACCTCTCATCAGTGGCCAGTAACCATCCTGTCCTTCCGTGAATTCACATACCACTTCCGGGTGACATTGCTGGTGAGCACACAGGCCCACAGAGGCTGAGGGCACTTCTATGCAGTGTGGGGCTTAGGAGAGGGATAAGGGCTTTGCAGAGCATGGTAGGGCTTGGGGCAACCACCTTACCCATCCTCATTTCCCTTTCACATAGGGTCAGGCCAACTGCAGCTCAGAGGCTGTCCTTCAGCCAGCCACAGACTACTACTTCCATTTCTACCGCCTGTGTGACTGAGCTGCTTCCCGAGGCAGAACCACAGCCGGGATCAGGGTCCCTGGGCTCTCAACACTGGATGCAAATGTGTTACACTGGAGCCTGCTGCAGGCCAGCTCTCTGCTCTTCGCTGCCTCCCTTGCCTGGGGAGACTGGAAGTCCTCACACTGGAGTTGCTGGACCAACTGGTCACCCTCACACAGCACAGAGAGGGCTAGAGGGAGCAGCCTCCTGGGTCTTCCTTCTGGTCATCTCCTTGGGGCAGCTCAGGACCAATTCATGGCTGCCTAGTTATGGTTCCTGGAAGGCTGGCTTGCCCACTCTCACTTTCCCTTCTGAGCTGTGGTAGAGTGAAGACCCATGGGGGCTGGACCCAGACCACTAACAGCTAGCTGGACCCCATATGAGTCCATGCAGAGTCAATAACTCTCACCCTTTATGCTGTTCCCAGGAGGGACAGCTTGGTAGTAACTTTCTGGGGTTTGACTGTTACACTAGATCTGGATTTCTAAGCTTTAAGTGTGTTTGGTTCAGGAGTGTTTTCCCTGGGAGAGCTTAGGTCCTAAGAATTCCTGAGGTAGTCAGGACTAGCCCTGGATGGCTTGCCTTAAGTCTTCTAGTGCTTGATGGAGTCACCCTCATAGGGCTGAACCAGTGGGGCTGATAGACCAGGTCAGCCTTGGACTCTTGAACCTGGACAACCCTGGAAGGGGTGGTTCCCTGTGAGCTCCCAAGATCTGTGTTCCAGGGAGTTTCCCAAACTCATGATGGAGTTGGTGAAAAGAGCAGGAATCCCTGCAAGCAGTAAACTGGTTTCCACTGGAGGGTGAATGCAGATAACTTTTCTTAATGATGTAATTACTAAATGCACTTAAAGCAGGGCACCAAGGAGTAGGACAGAGCTGGAAAGCCCAGAGGGCCTCCGTGTGGACAGCCATGAGTAGACAGGACCCCCAGTCTCTCTCTCGTGGCTTGGTCCATGTGCAGTGGGTCCCATCTCTGGCTCTTCCACCCCCAGGAGATAAGTGCTGGGTTTGTGTTAGGAGGTTTTACTCAAGTGACAGCTTCAGCATTTCTTGGAAGCACCTACAACATTCTGAGCACATGCAGGCTCCTGGAAGGAGTGTGTCAATCATTTAGCCGCATGTCATGGGTTCAGCAGTGGGAAAGGGAACTGCTCTTACCTTATGGTATTCTGACCCTTTGGAAACCAGGCCCTGCTTTTTCCAACCTCCCATTCTGACCTCTAAATGGGAGGCCTTTCTATAGGGGAGCTGAGTTTGGGAAGCCTGAACTGTGGGTCCTGCCAAGGATCTCAAAGCACTTATCCTCAGGATAGGGAAACAGCAGGGATGCCTGAAACTTTCTCCCCAGCCCGACTCTGTTCCTCCATTCTGCCATAGGATTCACAATTCCCCACCCACATCAGGCCGTGTTTGCCTTAAGACCTTGTTCTGTTCTCCCACAAGGTAGTTCTTCCCACAGTACCTTAAGACTGCCCAGCCTCGCTGCTTTAGTGCCATGCTGGGACTCCTTTCTAGAGGGGCAAGTGCTCTTGGACTGTGGCCCCTCAGTCCTTAACTGGAAAGTGACCCTCTTCTACCCCCTGGAGTCCATCTGGTTACAGCCAGCCCTAGGCCCATTGGCAACTGCCTGTTTGCATGCCTGGGAAGAGGTCCTCAGTGAGTTGGGGCCAAACTTGGGCTCCAAGCTGCTTGAGGGGGTCAACCTTGGACCAAAGTTGCCTTAAGCCCCAAGTATAAAAGGGCTCAGGGGAAGGTGGAAGGGCCACGGGCTGGAAGCTGACAGCCTAGCTGGCGCTCCCTTCCTCTCTTCCTTCTGCTGTGTTCCTATAGCCACTGGGCTAAGCTCCCCCTCGCTTTAGGCTGTACATAGGGCTCCCCCAGCACAGATCCCTGCCCATGCTGTACCCCTCAGCAGCCTGCGTGTTCAGAGCGTCTCCCTTCTTGCTAACTCCCCTTTTTCTCCATGTGCTCCGAGTCCTATTTATCATGTACTCACTGACTCTGAGGAAGGCAGAGATGCCACTCAGCCTACCTGCTTCCTGTCCCCCAAACAGTCCTTTTCTTCTAAGTAAATATACATATATAAATAAATGTATAAATACTGCTTTGTATCTGCACTTGCCTCTGGCATCTTCTTGAGACTGTTCTGGTGGGAGTCATCTCAGACCAAGCTGACTAGAATCTAGTTTCTGAGGAGCCTAGAACTCCTGGCCACCATAAAAAGGATCAGAAGGCTACTCCCTATCTTTATGCCCCTCATCCTTGGACTTGGGTTGACCACACACACATCCAAAAAACCTTCCCCATGTACCTGCCACTTCCCATCAAGAAAGAATTCATCTAAGGGAACAGGCTGAGCCTAGAGGACCACTGCCCAAAGATAGGTGGCTGCATTCAGAGAAGACTGGGCCAGGCTAAGATTGACGGCTGTTAGGTCCTGGAGAAGTTTGTTCTAAAACATAGAAGTTGGCATGGACCTTTCCTATCTGAAGGTAAGCCTTAAGCTAATGACAATAGGATACTGCTAAACCGCCCTTGCCCCCACGAGGAGGACACAAATTTCTAGCATCAGGTACTGGTGAAAGGCCGCTAGGAAGTGGAAAAGATGGGACTTCAACAATGAAGGAAACCCCGGTTCCCTCCCCTCAGAATGGACATGAGGCAGGGCTGTCACACATCCGCCTTTATTGTAAACAGCAGGTGGGACAGGTAGCAATGGTAAAAAATTAATTTACAAAAGCAGAGACTTGGTGAGCTGCCTGGTGGGTACCTGGAAGAGGAGAGCAGAATTGAGAATGAGTCCAGTGACCTTTCACATTCCCTCCCTGGAACCCTATGATGCTTGAGCAACAGGGACATCACTGAGGATGGGTCACCAGAACTGACTTCAATTCCCAGTTCCTTTCCAAGTCATCTGTGTGTGACTTCAAAGGATGCAGATATAAAACCATAAGCAGCCTCCACCCACATCCCTACCAAGTACACCCCAAAGCTTGAGTGAGCCCTTGAGTACATGGAGAATGCAGAACACACCAGGTCACACTTGGCTCAGAACCCCATGAGGGGTGGGGAGAGGGTCCTGATCCTCCCCAGTCTTTCTGTCCCCATGAACCACACAGTCTTGCATGAAGAGAGAGGACCCACTGAGGCTGTATGAGGCTTCTTCAGACATGTACCATCTTGTCACAGCTCTTACCCTTGGAGACTCATACGTAGATGCCAACCCAGAGCAGGAGGAAGAGGACTCCAAAGCCCATGAAGAGCGAGGCCACCAAGGAGATGAGGAGCTCTTTGTAAATGTCACGTGTGTACTTGGTAGAGGTGACCTCATAACTAGGTAGGACTGCTAAGGAGAAGCAAAGGTGGACTACAGTGCAGGAGCTGTCTAGGATCGCCCCTCATGGGAAACATAGACTAAGGGCTTCCTGGGAGGCTTGTCTGGCTTGATGCAGCTGGGCAGAGGGGCCCAAGACATGGCATGGACTGATGCCCCACACCATACCCCTAAAGTCCATGAGGAAAAGAAGCCCACAGTACTTAGGCCAATCACCTCTAGTCACGTATCACTCATGGTACAGCTAGGACTGGGTGCCAGACACTTGAGCACATCCCCTGTTTAAATCACCTTTCTGCTGGGTGGAGTGGTACACTCCTGTGATCCCAGCGCTCTCCAGAGGCAGAGCCAGATGGACCTCTCATCAGTTTTACATTAGCCATGTCTGCACAGTGAGACCTGTCTCAAAACAAGACCAAACCAAATCCCCAAATACCAACAAAACACCTTTCAAACCTCAGTTTGAAAAGCAAACTAAGCTAACTTGAAGTTGGAAAACAAGGCCCTGGCTTGCCCTTGGGCAGCACTGGCCTCCTAACTCACTGTCTCCATCCCACCTTAAAGGAAACAAGTAGCAGTTATCCAGTGTGCTTTCTCTCTCAGTTCTATGGTCACTAATTCTGACCCCTGGCTGCACAAAAAGGATACACGAAGAACCAGGCAGTGAAGAACATGCCGATGGCCAGAAGTACCACAGTCAGGTGAGGGAAGACAGCCGGGTTCACTGGGCTGGTATACCTACTCATGGCCTCGAGCTCCTAGGGAAGAAAGCAGATCAATCTCAGTTTCAATCTGGGGAGACCTTGGAGCAGATGTGTACTGCTGAGGACTCCTTCAAGTGGCTCACTATGGAACTGGAAATTACAATCATGTTGTGTGTGTGTGTGTTAAGTTTTATTACCTTTATTTACTGTGTGTGTGAGTTACGGTAGCAATGAGTGCATGGGAAGGTCAGAGGACAAACTGCAAGAACTGGTTTTCTCCTTTCACCACATGGGTCCTGGGGCTTGACCTCAAGTCACCAGGCTTGAAAGTAGGTGCATTTACCTGCTGAGCCATTTTGCAGGTCATTCCCCACCCCGTTTCCCCACTTTCTTTTTAAATTTGGGTGGAAGTTAGAGGACAACTCTCTGAGAGTCACCTTCTGTCGTGTTTGAGGCAATGTCTCTCTTGGGTGTTGGTCACTGTAACATGCATTCCAGGTTAGCTAGCCCTCAGGCTTCTGGGTGCTTCTCCTGTGTCCATTTTCCATCTCACTGTGTGTGAGTTCTGGGATTACAACATCTGGCTTTTTTTTTGTTTTGTTTTGAGACAGGGTTTCTCTGGGTAGCCTTGGCTGTCTTGGAACTCACTCTGTAGACCAGGCTGGCCTAGAACTCACAGAGATCTGTCTGCCTCTACCTTCTGTGAGCTGGGATTAAAGGCATACACCACCATCGCCCGGCCACATTGGATTTTTAAAAACAATGTGGGTTCTAGGATCCAACTCAGGTTATCAGGCTTCCAAACCAACCCTTTACCCATGAGCCATCTTCCAGCTTCATATCACATCCTAAACATAGGGACATGGCAGGCTTTGTGGTAGAGCATTTGTCAAGCATGCATTGCAGTCTTAAGTGTGATCCCCGGTACTGGGAGACAAAACAAAACAACAATAACAACAAAGAATGGCGGCAGCAGCTTTTCTTTCAATGAGATAAGAAGAGCAGCTAAGAGTCAGAGGCTCAGGCATACAACTGGATAGAGGAAAACGGCTCTTTGGGTTTTCTAGTTAACGATCACTATGTAAGTCACAGATATGCCTGGGGGAAAACACATAAAGAAAAAGCTTGCCCACAATTTCCACTGCTTTTGGATCTGTGTCCAGACTCTAAGCTGTTCATTTGTGCAGGAAGCCAGAGCCTAGAGTAGTACAGACAGCTCAAATTCTATTCAGGAGTGTTGTTTTTCATTGCCCTGGGAGGGCAATCCACAGGGGATCTCCTGGCAGAAGACAATTGGGATAATTCTGGCTCTACAGAATCATCAGAGTCTGAGTTAAGTAGTTATCACACTATTTGTGTCACAGGGCTGATGCATGATGAATGTTGACACATCTAGTTTACTGCCCGGCATAGAGTAACTGTTCAATAGGTATTTGTTTCCTTCCTAAAGTTGCAGAGAAGACGATGAGATAATCCCTGTGAAAGGGCTATAAACGTAAAGTTCTGTACAAATGTTAACTTCCATTGTCACTTGCTAGCCAATGTTTCTAAAGTCCAGAACATAACAACTTCAGAGAAGTAAACTGAGCCCATTGTTCTAAGAGACACAGGACTTCAATTCAGTAAACAATTATGTCCCCCTTTCCCCCCTAAAAGAGCCAAGGACAATTGCTGCCATTTATGGAACCTCCAAATGCAGGCCCAGTGTTTGGCAACAGGAATACAAAGACGAATAGCCATCATCCCAGAACTAGCTGCGCGTCAGATGGTGGTCACTAGGAGGCGTGGCAGATAAAAAGACAAGTTCATGAAACGTGGCAAGAGGTGTACAGACTGAGGCCCCCAGAAGACAAACAAGTACCTATGCGAGATATAAGTGTTTTACCAGGAAATGACACTTATACAAGGGCCTTGCGGGATGAGTACTATTTCTGCAAGGGAAACCTTCCAGCTAGAGATAACGGATCATAAAAAAGAGAAAAGCGCGAAGGTTTTCAAAGTGCACCGTGTGGCCTTCATACTTATTATAATCAACGACATCATAAGCACATTGTGATGGAAACCTCAGCCTGGAATACATACATGGTGAGGGGCTTGTTTTCTCGTCCCTAACTCTACTAAAGTTTCAGCGGCGTCCCACCCACCGGGCACTGCACACTGAGGCCTCCGCGGAAGAACGCGGTGAGGACCAGGCACACAAGAGTCCTAGGTCCTGGCCCACAGCACTGTCCGTAACTCCCATCATCTCACCATTTTGCCCCGCACAGGATAAACCACCGATCCGCCACCGGAAGAACACGTCGGCAGGAGCAAGCGCGTTGAGCAACAGGAAAAGGATGTGGTCCCTTGCGCGTGGTATTGTGGGACTTGTAGTCCCATGTTTTCAGGGGTAACGGGAACTAAGACTATGAGGACCTGCTGTGAGTAGCTTGGGGTTGGACTGTGGGAAAGTGTGGTGCAAAGTTTAGGTTTTAATTCATTTTTTCCCGGAAAGAATGCCCACTATGAAAGCTGCTATCGGACGTGGCGGGGCCTACACTACATTTCCCAGGAGGCTGTTCACGCCTGGCAGATCACGTGACGGGAGCGCGGGCTTTGGAAGGCGGCGAAACTGGAAACGATTTCGGCTCGACATTGAAAGAACGGGCTCGGGACTGTCCAGAGAACGTTAGGGTCTCCAAACCACTGCTAGCTGCTGAAACCTCGTGCACTCGAGGAGGTGTGGGTCTCGCGGAAGCGTCTCTGAGAGCGGCGAGGGCCGCGGGAGCAGCACCAGGCAGCCCGGGGCTTGGGCCTTTCGTACTGCTCCGAGCATCTCTTTTCGCCGGTAGGAAAAAGGTAATACCCTCCTCCCCGTGAGGATTACGGGACCAGAGCGTGTTCATCCTTGGGCCCTTGTGAGGAATATGGAGCGGGGAAATTTTGTGCCTTTGAGGAAATGAGTTCATGATCTGCGGACATCAAGAGACAGTGTGCTTTCTTGTATTTCTGGCTGAGGCAGGTGTTGGAAAAGTCCCAAGGACATTCCCGGGTAAGGGAAGTCTGGAAGATTCAGAACAGTGGGATCCAGTTAATACGGTGATTGATCAGTTGGCCTCCAGGGAGAGGAGCACAGGGGAGCTAGATATGCTTTTATCCTGCCTGCAGCCATTTCCTTTAAGGCTTTGCTATCTGAAAGGTTCTGTGGAGGCGGGACTGACTGTCAGGACAGAACAGGTTTCCCTTTGTGGGACATGATGGGTGGTGATATTCTGTATTCATTCTAGCAAAGCAGTAAGTGAGGTGTGAACCACTAGGGAGCATGGCACAGCATCTGGTAATGTGTGTATTCCATCTGGTGTTTTGGTTGACCGGTTCTGCAAGGCAGAAATGATTATCAGTCTTATTTTACAACTCAGAAATGACTTGTTTCACAATGCTGAAGATGCAGGGCACTTGCTAGCATGTGTGAGGGTTTTACACACACACACACACACACCAGATTCAAGGTGGAGTTTTTTATTTGATTTCTGAATTGGGGATTCAACATGGGACACATGTTAGGCAAGGCACTGTACCAGTGGGAGGTAACAATCTTCAGGCCTAAGGCCGAGCTTTTGCTGCTTGTATTCTTAGAGGAACCACAGTAATACGGACCAGGAAGGAGTAAGAAAGGATGGCAGGAAGAAGACATAGAGAGAGACAGGCCTTTTCACTAGGCTTCCGTACTATACAAGTAATGTGTGCTGAGGTGTTTGTAGTCAGGAAGGGGACTAGACAGGGTCACTTGGGCTTCAGAAAAGACACAGTGAAGTAAGATTGGGAACAAATTAGAAGAATTGACAGGACTTTCTTATGGTGTGGACACACTAACATTGGGCGAGCAAAATGACCTTAATAAATTGCATATTAGAAAATTCTTGTATTATACATTTAACACATTAATACGACTTATACAATGCAGATACTTTCGTTTAAGATGGGTTTTCTTTCCCAACTTAATTTTTTGTTTGTTTTTGAGATGAGGTCTCACTGTGTAACCCTGGCTGGCCTGGTACTTGCTGTGTAGACTAGGCTGGCCTTGAACTCGAGATCTACTTGCCTCTGCCTTCCAAGTGCTGGGATTACAGGAGTGTGGCACCACTCACAACTAGTTTTTTGTTTTATTTTGTTTTTGTTTTCATCTTTTTTTCTTTTTCTTTAAAGCCCATTTAAAGAAAAATTAGATAAAAGGAGAATTAATGTTTCAGTTGGAAGAGCCAGAAATTGTGAGGGTAGTTTTGGAAATGCTGCTCTAGGAACCGTTTGCTGGAAGCCCTGAACCACAAGTGCAAGTATCGGGCTGCATGAATCCAGCATGCCAGCTCTTAATTCAGGATCCATGAGGAAGTCATGGGGTTCACGTTTCAGACTTAGAGGTCGGAAAAGAGTACAAAGAGGAGAACTTTTTTTTTGGTTTTGTTTTTTTTTTTTTTTTCGAGACAGGGTTTCTCTGTGTAGCCCTGGCTGTCCTGGAACTCACTCTGTAGACTAGGCTGGCCTCGAACTCAGAAATCCACCTGCCTCTGCCTCCCAAGTGCGGGGATTAAAGGCGTGCGCCACCACTGCCCCGCCAAAGAGGAGGACTTAAAACTCCTCTGGAATCCTGATAAAAAAGACCCTCAGGTGCTAAGGGAGATAGGAAGGGAAGGATACCAGCATGTAAGGTGGCTACCTGGTCCTCATTCAGGTGTATCCCTCAGGTCTGCTGCATCAGTTAGACATCTGTGGAGAAACAATAAATCAGACATAGTCATATTTGCATAGCTGGTACTTACCTGCTCTTAAGGGTTCATGTCTGCCTTTAATGGTCTCAGGACCCTTCAAGCTGAGCCAAGCACTCTTGCCTTCTGTGATCCGTGACACAGATTAAAGTTGAAGTCACTCTGTGACAAATTGTGCCATTACGTTATTCAGAGCCCTTAAGTTACTCAGGAACATCCAGGGTCTCATTCCTTGAAGCACCCAGATCAGGTTCTGATTTATTTTTTTCTTTCATTTTTATAATTTTAACAAAGAACTCTTTTGTTTTTATTGTATTTTTCCCTCTTTCCCTTTTTACTCTTGCTCTGCTCGCTCTGGCCCAAAGGTTTTTTATTTATTTATTATATGTTAGTACACTGTAGCTGTCTTCAGACACCCATATGAGGGCATCAGATCTCTTTATAGATGGTTGTGAGCCACTATGTGGTTGCTGGGATTTGAACTCATGACCTTTGGAAGAGCAGTCTGTGCTCTTAACCACTGAGCCATCTCACCAGCCCCAGGTTCTGATTCTTAGGAGGCCTGCTTGAGAATGATGCATCTTGTTCATGTTTACAACTCCTGCTCTGTTGACTTGGAGTCCTGTTGTGTTTCATGTTAAATTTGATTGACATGAGATTGGCGAATGTTGCAACTTAAAATTTTTGTTCCTTTTGTATCCTCTTATGTTCCTCCTCTTACTTGTCTTTGTTTTAGCCATGGGAATTCAAGGCCTTGCCAAACTAATTGCTGATGTGGCCCCCAGTGCCATCCGCGAGAATGACATCAAGAGCTACTTTGGTCGCAAAGTGGCCATCGATGCCTCCATGAGCATTTACCAGTTCCTGATTGCTGTTCGACAGGGTGGGGATGTGCTGCAGAACGAGGAGGGGGAGACCACCAGCCACCTCATGGGCATGTTCTACCGTACCATCCGAATGATGGAAAATGGCATCAAGCCTGTGTATGTCTTTGATGGCAAACCACCACAGCTGAAGTCAGGCGAGCTGGCCAAACGCAGCGAGAGGCGCGCTGAGGCTGAAAAGCAACTGCAGCAGGCTCAGGAGGCTGGGATGGAGGAGCAGGTGGAAAAGTTCACCAAGCGGCTGGTGAAGGTCACCAAGCAACACAACGATGAGTGCAAACACCTGCTGAGCCTCATGGGCATCCCGTACCTTGATGCACCCAGCGAGGCAGAGGCCAGCTGTGCTGCCCTGGCAAAGGCTGGCAAAGTCTATGCGGCGGCCACGGAGGACATGGACTGCCTCACTTTTGGCAGCCCCGTGCTAATGCGACACTTGACTGCTAGTGAGGCCAAGAAGCTGCCCATCCAAGAGTTCCACCTGAGCCGTGTCCTGCAAGAGCTGGGTCTGAACCAGGAGCAGTTTGTGGATCTGTGCATCCTGCTGGGTAGTGACTACTGCGAGAGTATCCGTGGCATTGGGCCCAAGCGGGCTGTGGACCTCATCCAGAAGCATAAGAGCATCGAGGAGATTGTGAGGCGGCTGGATCCCAGCAAGTACCCTGTTCCAGAAAACTGGCTCCACAAGGAAGCCCAGCAACTCTTCCTGGAGCCCGAAGTACTGGACCCAGAGTCTGTGGAGCTGAAGTGGAGCGAGCCAAATGAAGAAGAGCTGGTCAGATTCATGTGTGGTGAGAAGCAGTTTTCTGAGGAGCGAATTCGCAGTGGGGTCAAGCGGCTGAGTAAGAGCCGCCAGGGCAGCACCCAGGGTCGCCTAGATGATTTCTTCAAAGTGACAGGCTCACTCTCCTCAGCTAAGCGCAAGGAGCCAGAACCCAAGGGGCCTGCTAAGAAGAAAGCAAAGACTGGGGGAGCGGGGAAGTTCAGAAGGGGAAAATAAATGTGTCCTTCCCTCCACCGTCCCTTTACCCCAGGACATCTGTTTTGTACCCTCAGCTAGAGCACATCCCTCTCATCCCTCGTCTTGAGGAGAGTTCATTGTTTCCCAGCGCTGCCCTTCAGAGCTTTCCCTCTCTTGACCCTGTGGCAGGAAGGCCATAGCTCTGCTTTTCCTTATTTTTAGCTCAGGAAAGATGTCAGGCTCAAACCACTTCTCAGGCAGGTTAATGGACACTGTATCCATTGTTTTGTGCAACTGCTAGCAACGTTTTAAGGAAGAAGATTAAGCAGGGAGAGAGTATATGGAGATAATTTCCCAGCTGGCAAGCTGGTGGAGGAGAGGTAACTGTAGAACGTGACTGCTCATTCTAATTTCACTGCGCCCTGAAAGACAGCCATCAGACTGGGATTAGCTGATGAAAGCTGCAAAGAGAGACAAGCAGAGAGGAGGCTGGCTGACAGCAGATTTAATACTGACCGGCTGTGGTTTGTGGGCAGACATTTGAATTTGCTATCTGCTGAGTCCGGCAGTTGTGCATGGGAGTGAAAAGGCAGTGTTCAGGTTTTGGTGTGTACTTTTTTTTTTTTTTTTTTTGTCTCTCCCCTCTTCATTGTTGGGGAATTGAACCTGGAGCAAAGGCATTAAGTGTACCACTGACCTGTAGCTCCAAGTGATGTTCTGACAGCCTTTCTGAGGCAATCAATTGAATTGAGGTTTTGGGGAGAAGAAACTTGTTCATGGGTTATTTCTATTTTAAAAGATGTGATGAGGAAAAAAATCAATAAAATTATAAAAGTGACTAGGATGTGGTTTTCAGAATGTTTGAAAACACCCTGAGTGCTTTAGTTTCCTGTAGAATAAATTATACTGGTCTTCTTTTCCCTCTAAAATCCCCAACAGCCTGTGATTGCCCTGGTAACAAGTGGTTTGTTTAGGAGTGACCACAAGGTGGCACTGCACTCATGTAATGTGGCCACAGCAGCTATGGTGGCACCAGCCTTTTGTACTTTATTTTGAATAGCTTGACTGGATTTCTCAGGTCCCACCAGTCTGTGAGATAAGGAGTCTCCTTGAACAGTCTAGTAATTTAGGTTAGATAACTATCTCATAACATCCAGACAGTTTGATAGGCCATTTGAGAAACATTTGCCATTCAGAAACCTTGTTCCACCGGGTGGTGGTGCACACCTTTAGTCCCAGCACTCAGGTGGCAGAGGCAGGTTAATCTACAAGTTGAAGGTCACCCTGGTCTACAGAGCAAGTTCCAGGACAGCCAGGCTATACAAATCCTGTCTGGACAAACCAGTAAAACAAAGTAGGTAAGTAAAAGAAGCCTTGTTCTTGAGATTTCAGGTGTTCAGGAAAAATCTTTGAAACTTATTGAGGACTAGTACATTTAGGGTTCTCAGGAACAGAACGATAGAATGAGTTATGTATATGTTAAAAGCGGATTCATTAGAGTGGATTACAGGGTGTGGTCCAGCTACATGAAGAATCCCAAAAAAGTAGGTTCTAATACCAGGGCAGGGATGTCTCGGTGAGAGGATGCGTGGGCAAGAATCAGAAGTCTCCATGTCCTTTGGTGGGAAATGTCACTAGAAGGTATAGCCTAGATTCAGGGTGATTTTCTCACCTCCACACAGGTTGTCCCAACTGGCTGGGTTCTAACTGATTCCAGACATGGTCAAGTTGACAACTAAGATAAGCCATTACAATTGGTAAAGCTTTGTGGGGAGCTAGCCTGTTTTGAATTCTGATCTCACAACTGTGTTATTGACAGCACATGACTGAGTTGAAAAGGCCTTGACAGGTTGAATAGAAGACTAATACTATGGGTTTTCAAGTCCTTTAGATTCTACTATATGGTAGGGGCATGTGAGCATCGGTGGTGGCATGTGTAGAGGTCAAAGGGCAGCTTTCAGGGATCTTCCTCGCTGCATATTATGGAGGTTGAACCCAAGTTGTGAGGACTTACCTGCCATGTCTTCTTTGCACAATGGTTTTCAATTTCTCCCCTGATCAGCTCCCCCTCCTACCCCCACATATTCCCCATCCCCCTTCCTCCTATACACAGGGTCTCACTATGTAGCCCTGGCTGGCCTGGAATTCAGTAGACCAGGAGGCCTTGAATTTATAGTTTCCCAAATGAAGTCTTAGGTGAATGTAGACACTACATTTTATCCTGAGGGCACAGCACTTAGTTTGTTCTCTGTTCTCAACAGTTGATAAGTGGAACTGACTGCCAGATTAAATTTGAGTTCTTTTATCTCCCCACCCCTTCCATAATTTGATTCTAAATGTGCAGTGTCAGTGAGCGAAGTCCCAAGGCTGGCTGAGTGCGCTGGCCTTTAGGGGCTTGCACCCTGTTGTCGGCAAGCATTTAGAAGTCTGGCTTGCTTCTTTTAAATTTGAACTGCTTAGCCTTTTAAGTGTGCTGATTTGGGCTTGGCCCTGTGAATGTTCTGATGTTTCACTCAGCTGTTGAAGTACCACAAAGAGTTAAGAGGCATTGGCTCTGCAGTCTGAAGCAGTGTTGGCAAAGAGAAGGGCCAAACAGGACTTAAAGCTATAACCACACTGAAATTTAAAATAGGTCCAAAAGGAGAAATGACTTAAAATAGAAAGTCGAAGGACCAGAGGGTAAAGACTGAACTGTGAGGCCTGTGAGATCCAGCAAGAGGACTGCAGCCGTACAAATGGGTATTGGGAGGAGCTGGGCCTTGTCAGACCATCCTTACATGGCTAGTCCTGCCCAGATTATACAAGGGAACTGGCAGTAATTCATGTTCCCAAGGGAGTTGAGCTCACAGGTAGGAGGGGACTTAGCAGCACCAGCAGCACCAAGGAGTCTTCTGTTTATTTATGCATATGCATGTTTGAATGTCAGTAAGTCCAGAGGGTCAGCCTTAGTCACTCCACCTTATTTTTCTTTTTACTGAATCTGCAGCTTACCAATTTGCCTAATGTGGTTGGCCAGCGAGCTCCAAGGATACACCTCTGCTTATGCTGGGTTATAGATCTCCACACCTGGCTTTTCCATGGGTTCTGGGGATCTGAACTTAGGTCCCCATGCTTGGACAGGAAGTGCCTTACCAGCTGAGCCAGCTCCCCTTCTCTGCACCAGGGCATCTGGTAGGCATGTGCAGACAAGCAGCACAGATTTCAAATGAATAACAACATTCTTTTGGTCCAAATAAAATTTTATTTTTTAGTTTTCATCAGGATGTGGTAACAACATTGGCACACACAGATACTGACATTAGGTCAATTAAGTGAAATGCCTGTGGCCAGGAAGTAGAAAGATAAAGGTAATAAAGACAGACATGGAAACTAGAGTTAAGTTCAGATATTCTGCCACTGTCTACATGAGCAGAGGTAGCTTTCTCTCTAACCCTGTTTTCTTATCTGTCAGTAGATTTGAGATACTTTCACTTTACCACTGTAACATTCTGAGTCTTGTCACTCGATGTCCCCCATGGCTATGCAAAAGCCACAGTGAAGGCTGAGGAGAAAAGGCCACAGTGGTTCAGATGCTCTGAAGACCTGGTCTTGGTACAACAGAGCTCACTGGTATTTGCTCAGATTGGCAGTTGAAGGCTCAAAGCCAGTGGGCTTGACAAGACTGGTAGTGCCACATCCTTATCCCCAGGTGGCAGGGAATGGTCACAGGGAGGGATCTGCACCTATTCTGGAAGGAAGGAGCTTATAAAGGTAGCACTTGTTAATCTGGATTGTTTCCTATGCATACTGCTTCAAACAGGTTTTTGAGCAGGGCCAACCACTGAGAAAGATCTGAGCTTTTCTGCAACCTGCCTGTCTCTATACCATACCCCAACATCCTTTAACGACCTCATCTTGACCACTTGCCATTTCTCCACAAACATGCACTGCACTTTGCCTTCAGGATTGAAGTATTCTCATTCCAGACTGGTGGTCAGCATGCTTCCAGTATCGTCTCTTGAACAGACAATGAGATAATGCCCATGGGGAACAAGAGAGCATGAAAGCTGACGTACAGGTTAGGTCTCTCCAGCCATGTTCCTATGTTCTCTGGACATATCTTTTACCAACGAGAAGATTACAAAACCCTACTTTATTGTTAGACTGACATGCTTTGTCAGAAGTTACCCTAAATTTCTATCTGGCATCCAGTAGAATAAGACACTTGAACGAGTAGACAGAGGAGCTGCCTCACTGAAGCAGTGACGTTCACAGACCTCAGTGTTTCTAACCTTCCTGTTTGTGACATGGAACTGTGCTATCCAATGCTGGAACATGACATAGGGAACAGGGATTCTGGGTCTGCACAGAACCCTGACATGCTAATGGAAGCCTCAGTCACTTTCGTTGATGGCTGTTTTGTTGAACTTAGAATTACAGGCTGGAGAGTCTGAGGAAACTATGGGAGTCTCATTCAGTAGGAGGGAAGACCTCACTCTTTGTTGATGTATTATTTGGGGACTGATTAGAAGAGATGAATCAACAGAGTTTTAAAGGCCAGTATCTGCCATCCATTTTGTCAAGAGCTAAGATCTAATGTTTTCTCTGGAACCTGGATGGAATGAGATTCAAGAATTACGTGTGCCAGATTCCTTCAGGGCCAAATGCTTCCCAAACCACAGTCCTGGCCTTTGCCCTGCCTGCTTCTGAAACTGAAAAATAGCTTCTTCCAGCAGCCTGAGGCAGGCATGGTCACACCCAGCCCTCAACAGCAAGCTGAGCTCCTGAGCAGGGAGCTGTGCCAGGCCTCAAAATTCTATGCATGAATGCCGTCTTTCTAAATCTTGTTCAAAGGGGTCACACTGTTCTTCAGAGGCTAACAAGGAAGGTGGAGAGTCAGACAGCCCAGTGAGATGGGTTCATACTTTACAAGAAAGAATATCTAGCGTGGGGTCCCTACTTCATGCAGGGCTCTGTAGGTACCACCCTTTGCCCTTGCCAAAGTAGAAGAAACAACAGTTTTGCATCCCTGCCCCAACAGTTCTCCCTTCCCTCAAATTTGGTACCCAGAAAGCAAGGGGGGTGGGCAGGTGTGAGTACGAATATCTATGTTCCCTAACCTTTTAAACATTAGTTTCATAGTGGCATTGTCCCTCAAACGTCTGCTTTGGCTCCAGTTGTCCTCTTCCTCCTCCATATGGAAGTCTGCTGCTGCTATTGGTGAAGATAAGCATCCAACCAGAGCTGTCCTGACTCCTTCAGTGAGCTGTAGGGTCAATAGGAGCAGACAGTGAGGGAGGTTGAGTCACTCACCTGAAGATAGGTCCCCTTCCCCTCAGAGGCTTTTACCCCCTTGCTTTGAGGAAGTTGGCCTGGCCATAGACCAATACATCCTGCCATTGGCATGGTGGTGCCATTGCTGATACCCAGGATTCCTTCCTGTGGCTCCCCACCCCACTCCATGCCACATGCTCATCATTGTGCCTTTCCTTCCTGCTGCCAGCTTCCCGGGCTCATACTCACTAAACAATGTCCGCGAAGGCTGTGAGCAGGGGCTTGGACTCATACTTGATGCCGTACTTGGCGCACAGGGATTGTACTAGGGGTGCCACCTTGTGGTAGTTGTGTCGAGGCATGGTGGGGAAGAGGCTTTAGGGACAGCAGAGTAGTTAGTGGCTTCTGCTTCTTTGCCCATTCTCCCTGACTCCCAACCGCCCCCCCCCGCCCCCCCCCCGCTTCCTAGGTCTCCCTACTCACTGGTGTTCAATCTGGAAATTGAGGTGGCCACTGAACCAGTTGTTGAAGGCTGATTGGTGAACGTTGCAGGTTGCCTGCAGCTGGGGGAGAAAGTCGAAGGAGGGCAAG